CTCTAAATTTAAAATTTAAAATTCTTAGGGTTACTCGCCCTATGTCTAAGTGCTGGCGCGGCTAGTTCTTGTTTCCACACTGTACAGGTGTTATTTAATGTAGTCTTCTTGTGTGGGTGCCGCTGCTTGTCTGTACTACGTGTGCTGTCTGCTGTATTGCTGGCTAAGTGCTGCCAGCACTTAGACATAGGGCGAGTAACCCTAAGAATTTTAAATTTTAAATTTAGAGTGATTTAAAAACATCATAACTAAAGATTTTATAGTGCTACAACAGGAATATCAAATTTGATGTGTGCAATATAATCTACATACCAGACACATATCAACGAGATTGATGTTGATAATACGAAAAAGGTGACATTGTGTTTTAAATGTTAAATTTTAGACTGGGTTCAGTGTGGCAGCAACGTTAAGAGTATACACCTGATGATGGCCGATAGAGGCCGAAACATGTAGTGTAGAAGGAACAAGATCAAGGAAATATAATATATATTGTTTGCACTTGGGACGGAGCTTGTATCATTTATTTATTATTTTATTTATTTTATAGTTTTATTTTCAGAGATTTTGCTGGTAAAAATTAGAAAATATCAATTAGAAGTATGTCTCTTCCACTTTCATTTTGTTATTTAACACAGAATCCCGGCATTTAAACTGAGATGCCACTGAATTTCAAAGAATTTTAAAGGTTTGCACTAGTTTTGCACAAACTTCATAAAGCAACTTGTACATTATTGAGGAAAGAAGAGGTTTTGTAGTGATCATGTTATCAGAATTATAATACATGGGTATCACTTGGAACCTGGTTCTTGGCATTATTAAAAATGGTAGTGTGAAAACTATGCCCTGTATTGACTGGTACCACTTTGTTCTGGGTTTACATATGAAACCAAGAAATTCTCTATTTCATTTTTGGTATATTTGCAACATATTTGGAAAGTGGTGGTGAAAGAACAGTTTATAAGTAGGTGAGGCTTCCTGGATAGTATGAGTATGATGCATGTGAATGTGAGTTCTCTTTTACCATAGTTATGTGTTCTCTATTAAAGTCTTTTTCTTTGTTTTTTAAGTAGATTCCTATAGTGGCCAGCACCAAAAACTATTGCTTATTAGTGGACTGGTCAACTGCTGTAATTATTTTGGACACCCTGCTCTAGGTCAGTGTCCTGTCAACTGGAACCTGCATGTCGGGACTGCTGACATGCACGCTAATTGAACAGTATCAGTGCCTAATTTCTGAAAGAAGAATGACACCAATATGAGTAGAAAGAATCTTGTACTTATAGTATGGTGACCTTGTACCTCTTCAGCATTCTGTCATGTGACATACCTACTGATGAAAAACATATTCATACCAGTATATCCAACACACACATAACATGAAGTAAATTCATTTTAACTAACCTAACAACACCTAACATTCCACAGAATCTGGATGTACAAGATGTATAAACATATCCATATAAAACAAAGTATTTGCAACTACAATTACAGATGTCTGGATGCAGTATGTCCAGAGGAGCATGAGCAACTGGTCACCATATTTTGAAAGTATAACAGAAAGAGAAAGTAATTTATATATTTATCTGTATTTGTAGTATATGACATTTCTGGTCTATTTAGGTTTCAACTTCAAAATGGTCGTTTATTGTGAATCATTCTGGCTGAAGCTAAGCACTGCTTACATGCATATAGATTTATCCTTTAAGTATCATTTTTACATCTTTAAGTTTATCTTCAGTTACATTTAACTTTCTTGGTTTCTGGTGCACATATTTTGTTTTGTAAGCTTCTGTGTTGCACTACCCCATCACGAATCCACGCTTTGTGAAATTTCAGATTATTCCACTCGTGGTGCTAGTTCTGAAAGTGACTCTGAAGGAGATGTACCAGGTCAGTATTGTTTTGGAGAAATATGTCTGTATGGAACATTATAATAATCTGATTCTGTTACCTGTAAAAGTAGTGAAATATAAACTGCGATAAGATGGACACTAAACTGACTGTCAGTTGAGTAACATAATTTGGTTTTCTGACGGGGGCAAGATTGTTCTCTTTTCCTCCATATTCAGACAGCTTAGAGCCCACCCAACCTAGACAGAGGTAGTGAGACTTCTTTCCCCAGTTGTGAAGTGCTCAGAGCATTAAACTAACATTAACTCAGTTTAGTACTCTTCTGAGAAGCTCTTCCTCCAATTATGTTTTATGACATGTTGTTTAACCACAGTGACCTAGTAGTTAAATTCACCCAAATCAGTGAACAATCCACAGCCAGTGGGTTAAAATTTGAATCATATATACGTAGGTCGTACCAAAAGTCATGAGCAACTTTTTTTTTGCATGCAACCTGGGAACAGCAGACGAAAGAGAGTACGGTGGTAGGTGGAACCAGCTGTTGTGTTAACCTTGAGTGTCTTGTGATGTCAATAGCTTGCATCATGTGACCAGTATCACTCCTAACAAAATGGCCGACAACGATATGTCATTTCGCCAGCATGATGTCATCGAATTTTTTGTGAAAGAGGAAATCCCTGCTGCAGAAATTCACCAGAGACTTCAGCATGCTTATGGAAGTGTGTGCATGGGTGTGAGCAGTGCTCGAAGATGGGTGAAACATTTTAAAGATGGGAACACCAGCATTGAAGATGAGCCTCGGAGTGGTCGTCCTTGAACAGCCTCAACTGAATGCAACAAGGAAAGCGTGGATGAAATCATTGAAGATGACAGGTGTGTGACTGTGGACACAATAGCCCAAAAACTTGGAATAGGGCACAGTGCAGTACAGGAGATTATTGAAAGCTTGGGCTATAGGAAATTTTGTGCTCTTTGGGTCCCGCG